GTAACGCTCCCTTGACGCCCTATTTTCCAAACGAGACCTGCGCTGGTCTCTCATCATCATCATCGTTGACGTCGTCGTTGTAACCGTCTGTGCCTTCGCAAATGTTTTGCAACAATAACAAGAGCGACCCGTCCAGTTCCAAAAGAGAGATCGGTTGCACAACCGAGTCGCTGTTGCAATCAGTCGCCACTCGATCATCGCCTGCGACTTCTTTGTCCGCATCCGAGCGAGTAGTTTTGCGCAGACGAGGCTTGCGACTGCAATGAGGAATCGCAGGTCGCCAGTGGCGAACGCCATGCAGGTCATCACCGCACGTGGCCTCTGAGCAGATCGTCGCTGGAAACTCGAGCTTGCCTCAACCGGGAGCAACCGGGTGGGCAACTGGTCGCAACTGATTACAGAGACGTCCACACGTGAGGGTTTCAGTCGCGTGCGACCAAAACCGATGGCTCGGGCGTGGGGAGGCACAGCTGCGACACGACGCGAGGGTGTGGTGGTGGTGGCGGGGAACGCCTGTGACTCCGCACGTTCGAGACGAGGTCGCTGGATCACGCGCAGATTTGCAAAGAAACGAAGTCGGCTGAAGTTGGAAAGCTGTTGGCATTTCTCCGGTGCGGCACTCAGTTCCTAGCTCACTGCGCCTGATAGTGTTCAAGAGTAAAGCGGTAGGCAGGGGGATTGATGATGCACCGCTCACCGGCAGTCCTTCGTCTCCTGATGGCGCTTCTTATCGCCACTGCTACCGTGGTTACTGTGCCCGTGGACTTCACTCATTGAGCTCTCCTCCCATCTCGAGGACTCGGTCGGTAGCCAGACCTTGACTGTTCCACGTCTTCATCCACGCGATCAGCCACTTCGTTGAGCTATGGTTTGTGGCAAGGTCGCCTCTGGAAACTAACTGAGAGCTCGGTGGGATTTACCTGGTAAAGAAAAATTGCTTAGTTTTAGTTAATTCGTTTTTAGTGGTTTACTTTCATTTCCAATACTTTGAACTCCTTTCGTTTATTTTGTATTGGGTTGTTGTTGGAGACCGTCCCTACTGGACATCTGTGAAAAAGAGCTTTGGAGCTAATCGGATTTACGTTTATTGCCTCGCAATTTGGAATGCCTCTTCACACCGCGCTTTATTGAATGCCCCTACACGAGGCACCCTCTATCAGAGAAGCAATCTACACACAACGCGCCTGCAGCACGCATCACCATAATAGCTCCAGATTAATAGGGCACTCCATCACAGGGGGCTCTCATGCAGAGCACATCATTGTCTGACGGAATAAAGCGTGAGACGCTCCTTCCGTGTGCCGCGATTGAGAGTCTCGACGGCCATCCGCACCTCTCTCTGCGCGCGGCTTCAGTGGAACTCTCCATCACGCGCGCGCGCGCGTCTCGCATCAGTGATGCGGCCACATTGAGCAGTGCAGTCACACGACTCCCATGGTGGGGGGGGGGGTTTGGGGACGCCTCATCCAGCAGTGGATTGATCATGGTCGACGATGATGGAATAATTAGTAAACTGAATGACTTACTCAGGAGTGCCTCAAATTAAAAACCTGGAATGTTTGGCCAAGTTTCAATGTAGAGCTCAGTGTGCGTGTGTGCGTGTGAGAGTGTGTGTGAGTGTGTGCGTGTGAGTGTGTGTGTGCGCGCGTGTGTGTGCGTGTGTGTGTGTGCATGTGTGTGTGAGTGTGTGCGTGTGAGTGTGTGCGTGTGAGTGTGTGTGCGTGTGAGTGTGTGTGTGTGCGTGTGTGTGTGCGTGTGTGTGTGCGTGTATGTGTGCGTGTGTGTGTGCGTGTGTGTGAGTTACATATTTACGTCGTAGTTTAGTGGTAATGAATTGAAGGTGGAGGGGTTACCAGCCCCTCGCACCCGTCCAGAGCCCCCGTTTAGCCACTGTGGTGGTCACAGACGCCATGAGGGGAGATGCCAATCAGCATTGGCCCTCCCCCCACAGCGCTGGCCACGACAGAGTTGCCCGTCCGGCACCGCGAGGAGGTGGGGGGTTGTTTTGCCGCGGGCCTCAGTGGCCCTGGATCGCAAATCACTATTTAACTCCATAAAAAAGTAACCTGCAGAGCCACACCTATTACCATCATTAGTGGAAAAAACGGTGATCCAATCTCCGACCCCCAGGAACAGGTTTGCAGATTTGCTGAGCATTTCTGTGAGGTCCTGGGGGAGAGGAAATCCCTCAGCCAGGAAAACATCATGGCACAAATTGGGGATAACCCTGCTGAGGCTGCGTTGCCTCAAATATTGGAAGAAGTCACCCCCTGTGAGTGGCTGGCTGAGGTGCCATCTGTTGAGGAAGTACTGAAGGCGATCCGGAGTCTGAGACCCGGAAAAACACCGGGCAGAGATGATCTCCCAAGCGAAATGCTGAGGGAGGGTGGCGTTTGTGCACAGACTGCCCTATATGACATCATAACAACAGTCTGGACCACTGGACGAGTTCTGCAGGATTGGAAGGATGCCCTGGTGGTCCCCCTCTTTAAGAAGGGGGACCGCACAGGCTGTAACAACTACAGGCGCATCTCACTCCTCAGTGTGCCGGGAAAGGTCCTGGCAAGGATTATTCAACATCGTCTTGCTAGGCACGCTGAGGAGAGGCATGCGGAGCCCCAATGCGGTTTCAGGAAAGGGCGGTCCTGCACAGATGCCATATTTTTTGTCCGTTTGCTACAGCAGAGGTGTAGGGAATTCCAACAAGACCTACATCTCTGCTTTATTGACCTGGTCAAGGCCTATGATACCATCAGTAGTCCTGGGCTCTGGGTTGTTCTTCGTGCTTTCGGAGTCCCTGAGTCCCTGACCCTCTGATCATTACGGACCTTCATGGTGGTGAGCAGGCCCGGGTAAAACTACGTGGCCGGGAGTCAGAGCCTTTTCCTGTACCCCTTGGGGTGCGACAGGGATGTCCTCTGGCTCCCACATTATTTAACATCTATTTTGACCACGTAGTTCGTGAATCCTTAAATAACTGTACCGGGGGAATTTCCATTTGGTAAAGATATAATGGGAGGCTGATCGATGCCCGGGTGCGATCAAGGGAAGGCTCCCTATTGGTCAACCACGTTATGTATTCTTTGGTTCTTTCGGTTAAGTCACGTCTAAAGATAAAATAATAAATTAAAATAAAAGCATATTACGACGTTTCGATTGCAACACAAGCAATCATCATCAGGCAAAAAAAGAAATAGCAACAAAAATCTAACTAGAAAAACTATAGACAGACATACAAGCAGACAGACATCACAAGGACACACAGAGAGAGGACACATATCGGCACAAAGAGAGGGGTCGTTTCTGTGACGGTCCCTTAAATATAGAGAGGGGGGCAGGGACGAAACGTCGTAATATGCTTTTATTTTAATTTATTATTTTATCTTTAGACGTGACTTAACCGAAAGAACCAAAGAATAATTCCTGCAGTCACGAAAGCTCCATAATTAACACGTTATGTATGCCGATTATTTGGTAATAGCTGCTCATTCAAAGGAGAACTTGGAGACGCTGCTGAGACTGGAGCGTGCCACTAAGAGGTGGGGCCTTACCATCAGCCCCACCAAAACTAAGCACCTGCCTGGGTATTGTGTACCATCGGACACTCCACCCCCATAACTCCCAATCGCTGATGGGGCAGTAGTGGAGAGAGTGGAGAGTTTTCTATACCTGGGCAGTGTGCTTATGAACGGCTCCAGTTTAACAGCAGAGGTCTCACTCCGAATCAGTCGAGCGGCAATATATTTTCACCGGTTGCGTAACGCTGTGTAGAAGCTACCTGGTCTGTCGCTCCGCACGAAGCTTCAGGTCTTCTCGGCCACAGTCATTCCCTCCCTTCTCTACGCTTGCGAAACGTGTACCCCCCTAATGGAGCATCTTCGCCGGTTGGAAACATTTAGGCTGGCCTGCCTATGATACATCCTGGGTTTAACCAAGCTGGATTGTGTGAGGAGCTCACAAATCCTGGAAAGATCTGGGCAAAGTCCCATCGGTGAGCTCCTCCGGCAGGCAAGGCTGCGTTGGCTGGGTCATGTAGCCCGCATGCCCAGCCACCGCATGCCTAAACAGCTTTTGTTCGGCCGGATCGAGGGGGCTAAACGGGCGCGGCACGGGCTAGAGAAGAGATGGAGTGATGTGGTACAAGACGACGTGGAGCTGAGTGGACTTGCCGCTGACTGGTACCAGCGGTGTCAAGATCGGCCTCTGTGGAGGAGGCTCGTGAAGGACGCTACTAGGCAGTTGGAGGCAGTCGCCCTCCAGCAACAACGGAGGGCGGAGGAGCGACGCTCACAACAAAGAGCGGAGCGCCGGGTGGCTAAAGCGCAGCAAGTTGGCACAGTAAGGGGCACAGGTGGTGCATCAGCCAGTCATCTCGGTCATCTCAGTCAGTCGACCCGTGGCACCTGGGTCTGCCCCGTGACCTCCTGCCAGCGGGCGTTCGACACTTCACGAGGCCTCAAGGTGCACATGGCCTGGCATCACCGCTCTTAGTGGCGAATGTTATTGTTCTGTGTGAGTGCGTGGGACAGGCTATTAACAAGGCCACGGCAAGGGCCAACGATGCTGCGTTTTTTCAAGTGAGAGGAGGGGAGACGGAGAGAGCACGGAGGGGAGAGGGGCGGGGGGCGGGGGCGGGGGGTGCGACCGGGGCAGGGACTTCACCTTCACCTCCGAGCCGCGGGGCCGCCCACCCTAAACGATTTTACCGCGAGGCCTCGTTCATAAAGAGTGGCGACAAACATCACTGGTGACAAGTTAAACATTGAACCGGCGGGATTCGACTTTCGATATCATTGGAAACAAATGCCAATCGTGCAGCGGTGTGTTTGTTGAACTTCTTTCGCACCGTACGTAGCCGACCGTGCCAATCAGAGCAATCATTGCAAGAGAAGCACCCTCCTCGAATGTACTGTCCAGGTACTTGTACGGCTCCTTGCCAATCCACTGCTGGACGAAGGCCCCCCCACGCTGTACGTGCGGGTTATTTGACCATTGCTCACCACTCTGGTCAATGCGGGCTCGTGAAAGGCAGGCAATGAAGTCCTGGGCGCAGCTAAATCCGGCACGACATTGGATTTGGCTCCGTCGCCGTCTGCTGGCCGCCTCATCGCCACTCGAGGGAGGGGGGCAGAGTGTCCGTCTCTCCCACGGCGCGATCGGCAACACGACGTGTCCCCAGGGCCTGTCCGCCAGAGGAATGAGCAGTATTTGTAGCCGCATGAGCATCTACGTCTCGTTATGTTCACAGAACCCGGTAGGGGTGCTGCTGCCGCAATGATGTCGCGGTGAGCAGCGCACCGGACTTGCGACCTGGATGGGCGACGGTTCGAACCCTTCCCCCGGCGCAGCAAGTTTCTTAAACCTCCTCTCTGCCCCGCAGTGCCGTAGAGTTTAGTGGACGTGAGTTGCACTACAGTTACTATATCGGCAGGTCGCGTATGGTGGGGTCAATGGTGGGTACTTCCACCTCTTCTAAGACGTCCTGGCCAGAGTCGAGGAGTCGTCTAAAGTGCCCTCTCCAGCAGGGCTCTCGACAGCTCCCTCGAGCGGATCTCCTTCCCATAGCAGTGGCGTACGGTGCGATAGAAGTTCAACATGAAACCTACAATTTATTTAACCGTTTAAAACGTAATAACTGAATCTAAGACGATCGTTGCCACCGTGATGAAGAGTTGACGGGCGGTTGGTGTACGACGCGAAGCCATTCCCTGGCTCACTCACTCGTCCGCTCACTTACTCGCTCCTCCGCTCACTCGCTCTCCCGCTCGCTCGCTCCTCCGCTCGCTCGCTCACTCGCTCGCCCGCTCGCTCACTCGCTCACCCGCTCGCTCGCTCACTCACTCGCCCGCTCGCTCACTCACTCGCCCGCTCGCTCACTCACTCGCTCACTCGCTCACCCGCTCACTCGCTCACTCCCTCGCTCCCCCGCTCACTCGCTCACTCACTCGTTTCGCTCACTCACTCGCTCCCCCGCTCAGTCGCTCACTCACTCACCATGCCCGACGTGAACGAGCAACACATTCCTCATGAGCTCCCCGGCACGCCGAGAGAATACGGAGCGCGCGAGCCCGGCTCGCCGCGCATCGTTGTAATCGGACGGAGCTCCTCGTTTCAAGGTCACTTTGAGACGAGCGCCGCACTCGCTCCGTGCCATATTAATAGCGTGGCGCAATCTGCTGCGTCTCCACTGCCCATCTGCTTCGTCAAATTACTCCGTGACCCCCAGAGCCGCAACGCCTGGCGTCCAAAGAGGCGCGCGCGAGCCACGGCGTCCCCCCCCCCTCCTCCTCCTCCACGCCGCGGCCTTCCCCGCCACGGACTTCGCCTGCATCGGCCGGCCATGTGGGCCCAGCGGTCGAGCGAGCGGTCGCAAGATTCAAATTCTGGTTTGGTGTTCACTCCCCACCGCACATCCCCTCAACCCCCTTTCCCACAACCATTTGGGCTCAATGAAAGATGAACAACAGCGGCTGTTCTATGGATAGACTCGCCCCCATCCATAGGAATGCGGAATTTCCACCGCTGGCTCAGGCGTAATGGAACGCATCATATACAATCCCAAAAACACAGACGCACATTGACACCTCGAAGTCTGAGAACAATGCAGAGCGATCGTTTATTGGGATGTGCACTTGAAATGGAATGTGAGGGTTCGCCCCAGCGGGATATCAAGGAGGAGGAGGCGGGCGAGGTCCAGTGGTGGACAGGGGCGGGCGGGCCGGGGGGGTGGGGGAGTTGGGCCTGAGCGGTCACTCCGTGGCGGCAGTGGCGGCGTTGCGTGATGGTGATTACCGCGTGGCGGTGATTGTCGCGGGCAGCACCTGCGTGCCTGCGAGTGGCGCACCTGCGGGGGGGGGGGGGGCGCACCCGGGGGGGGGCGCACCCGCCCGGCCCTGCCCAAGAGCGCGCAGCTGTCACGGCCCCGGTCACATTTTTCACGCCAATTTTTTTTTCTTTCTGCTTCGACTTCTTCTCCTTCTAACTTCTGGTTGTTGTTGTTGTTGTGTGCGCGCGTGCGCGTGCGCGTGTGCTCCACATCAACAGCACGGCTCAAACGTGCGAAGCGTCGACCGCGATCATCGTCGTTGTTGCGGTGGTGGCGGTTTTCGCGTCGCGTTTCATTGCCGCGAGAGGTGGCCCAGCCCGAGCGGACTCGAACCGAGAGGTGCCCCCCCCCGTGCTGATGCCTGCAGGCCACGTCAGCCGCTCGCTTGAGGCCGAGTCGACCCAGGCAGGAGGTCTAGGAGCGGTTGGGACATCCGTCACTGAGGTTCGCCCGGGCCGGGAATCGAATTCAAGTCGCCGGATTCGTAGCACGAACCTCAGCACGACCACTTCCAACAGTCGCCACTCAGTGACAGCGACGTCACTACAATGTGCGTGCCAGGCTACGTGCGCTTTTGAAGCAATCACATTAAATACGATAGCTGGCAGGAGGCCACGGGTCAGACCTTGTTGTTGTGGGTTAAATGCGTAGAATGGGTGCGCTCCGCACTGTGCCGCCACACACACACACGCAATGTGCCGCCACACACACACGCACTGATCTATGCGTGATCCACCAACCCCTGTACCAGCAGCGAGGATTGCAGGCGTGCGTCACCATGCCTGGCGAGCGATGTCTGCGCGTCTCGACCCACGCGGCCCATCCGCCAGCGCGAAGGGGCCGGCCCCTGAAATTGCGCGGCTTAGCACCCACACTTCTCACGCGGCCTCACCACCCACTCCGACCTCACCACCCACGCCGGCCTCACCACCCACTCCGGTCTCACCACCCACTCCGGTCTCACCACCCACTCCGGTCTCACCACCCACACGGCCTCACCACCCACTCCGGCCTCACCACCCACGGCGGTCTCACCACCCACTCCGACCTCACCACCCACTTCGGCCTCACCACCCACTCCGACCTCACCACCCACTCCGGTCTCACCACCCACTCCGACCTCACCACCCACTCCGGCCTCACCACCCACTCCGACCTCACCACCCACTCCGGCCTCACCACCCACTCCGGCCTCACCACACACTCCGGTCTCACCACCCACTCCGGTCTCACCACCCACTCCGGCCTCACCACCCACTCCGACCTCACCACCCACGCCGGCCTCACCACCCACTTCGGCCTCACCACCCACTCCGACCTCACCACCCACTCCGGCCTCACCACCCACTCCGGCCTCACCACCCACTCCGGCCTCACCACCCACTCCGGCCTCACCACCCACTCCGGCCTCACCACCCACTCCGGCCTCACCACCCACTCCGGTCTCACCACCCACTTCGGCCTCACCACCCACTCCGGCCTCACCACCCACTCCGGCCTCACCACCCACTCCGGCCTCACCACCCACTACGGCCTCACCACCCACCCGGCCTCACCACCCACTCCGGCCTCACCACCCACTCCGGCCTCACCACCCACCCGGCCTCACCACCCACTCCGGCCTCACCACCCACTCCGGCCTCACCACCCACTCCGGCCTCACCACCCACTCCGGCCTCACCACCCACTCCGGCCTCACCACCCACTCGGCCTCACCACCCACTCCGGCCTCACCACCCACGTCGGCCTCACCACCCACGCCGGCCTCACCACCCACTTCGGCCTCACCACCCACGCCGGCCTCAACACCCACCCGGCCTCACCACCCACGCCGGCCTCACCACCCACGCCGGCCTCACCACCCACTCCGGCCTCACCACCCACGCCGGCCTCAACACCCACCCGGCCTCACCACCCACGCCGGCCTCACCACCCACGCCGGCCTCACCACCCACTCCGGCCTCACCACCTACTCCGGCCTCACCACCCACGCCGGCCTCACCACCCACGACGGCCTCACCACCCACGTCGGCCTCAACACCCACCCGGCCTCACCACACTCAGAGCTGTGGTCGCCTCCCGTGCCGAGCGCTGTGGTGCGAACTGCCGCGCAGAGAACCTCGCGCCCGCACGACGCTGAGTGGCTTCGTGAGGCGTCAGATTGCGACCACACCTTGATATTCTGCACGGAGCTAGAGGGCATAAGTAAATGTCAAAACGTTTACAGTGCATACTCGAATAACCAAGCGGCTTTATTCGCCACAGCAATAAGCACTGGTTCGGTTTCATTATTCATGGTCAGATCCACTGCTGGACGAAGGCCTCCTCCACACCCTACCACGATCCTGCAATGGAATGATCCACCCGGCACCTGCGATTAGCACGGTTGGCTACGTACGGTGCGACAAAAGTTACACATACACCCAGCACTTGTGTGCACTACGAGCTGTTCATCTTCATTCAAGTCGAGAGTAAATATGGCAATTATGTTGAAGACCGCACGTACACACACACACACACGTCCACACAATAACAGCAACAACAATAACCGCCATTCGCTACTAAGTGACGGTGACGTCACCACGGCGCTTGTGCCAGGCTATGTGCGCGTTAAGGCCACGTGAAGTGTCGAACGCCCGCTGACACGAGGTCACATACACACACATGTATCTGGTTATTGTATTGTATACTTCACAGGGTTCAATTCGTTTAGACGGATTCATCAGACATGGCAGTCCGTTCTCATTGGTTAGATTTAGGCGACAGATTACGTTTGTGAATAGATGTCTGCCTTTGGTTGACTGTGCATTCTTCTTCACTCTCCGTCGTGGATTACCAGTCCTGTGAAATATACAAAAAAAATCACAACTCCGAGATTTTAACTGTACACCCCTTCGGCAATCAGAATCTGGATTTAGCACTGGAGGAATCCGAGTAGCTAGGAAGCTCTTTGTCACCGATGTCCAGTAGGACATCAAGATGTCCAATGCAGTGCTGGCTGAAGACAGTCCACGCTCTGGTGGTCAGTCAGCCGCTCGATTCTGAGCGAGGCCCACCGAGCTAAGAAGCGCTGTGTGTCCTGTGGCTGAGTTCGTGACATGGGGACGGGTTGGTGACGTCCCCGCTGATGCTCTCCACGGCTGGGTAATCGAACTGAGGGGTAATCGAACTGAGGGTTGCCCGCTGCATAGCGCGGTACGCGGACCAACAACGCTCCACCACAGTTTGAGTTGAGTACTTGCTGAATAGCATTTCGTTACAATGACGACGCTGTTTGCGCACTCGGTCTGTCAAGAGTTTAGTGCGGTGGTTGGTTTGCCCGCGCCCTCTCCACATGGAGTACGTTGTTTTACGTCCCTAGTTATGTATTTGGTATGTTCGAGCATCAACCGTTTGTTACGGAATTTTACGGCTGTATTTCCCTGATTACTCTCTCGCCTTCTCGCGACTTACGCAACTCGGATTTCATTGATCGTTAATATGTTTTATTCCCCCAATCGGCGAGATGCTCAGGGAGGCTCCCAGCGTTGCTCGCCGCTGAATGACGTCTTCACCGTGTCATCGATGCGCGGCCATTCTGTCAGCACGTGGCAGCAACAACTTTACTCGGATAAATCGCGTCACGGATAGTTTCATACTTACAGCTGTTTCTCTGTAGCGCCCTGCGCTCTGATTTACGCCTTGTTTCGTAGTTTTGTTCCTAATTATAACTGCACGCGATCGGATGGAATCTATCACATTTGGTTTATTTCAGAGTTTGTCGCCGATTAAAACCTGTCCGTGATGATATGGAATTTCGCACCTCGCGAATTCCCGATAGAAACCCCCAACTCCCTGCGGTACAAACATAATTTTATATTTTTGGCAGAACAGACAATACCATGTATATGTATAACCACCTTAACCAATCTGCCGGGCAATTTTATTTCAACAAATGGCACTTTCTCAAACAAGACAAGTTTGGGGGAAACTACGTGGCACACGGCTCGAAAAAAAAAATCATACAAAAAAAATCATACAAAAAATCATACGAAAAATCATACGAAAAATCATACAAAATATTATACAAAAAATCATACAAAAAATCATACAAAAAAATCATACAAAAATCATACGAAAAATTATACAAGAAATTACCAAAAAAAACCCCACCTAAGAAAATAAACGAGGCGGAATGTGTCGCGTAGGTGGCAGGCGAGCACGCGTGCTTTGTTGTCCACACATCTGGGCCACGTGGCGCTGTCCCACGGGCCCCTCCCTCTCCCTCCGCAGGTGCATGCCCCGGGGCGTCGTGCGTGTCTCTCTCTCTCTGTGCCTCGGCACTGGGGGAGGCGGCGGGGGTGGGATCTGCCTTTGAGTCACCATCATCAACATCATCAACAACATTCATTCCACCGCGCAGGCGATCTGCGCGGCTGAGTCAATCAACCGAGGGCCGCCCTCTGCCATCACCGCCACGGCGGTTGGGTTGGGAGATTGAGGCTCTTGATATGCAATCGGGACTCGTGAATGTCTTCGCTGTCATTGTTCCGGATTATAAGACGCTCCGGAAAGTGTGCCCGGCGTCAATAAAGTCGTCGTACAAATCTGGTCTCACTGCGTGTTGATTCCCTTCATATCACCACGCAGATTGTTACGAATATTATTCTCATCCAGATAGAAATATTTGAAACAAGATGTATATTTTTCGGGAATTTCGGTAAAGTTACGTAGATAGGTTCAAAGAAAATAACCAAAAACTACGACGTTTCGATCGCAACACAAGCGGTCGTCATCAGGAAAGGGGGTTCGCTTCTAAAGGCAAACGTCGCAGTTTTTGGTTATTTTCTTTGAACCTATCTACGTGACTTTACCGAAAGGCCCAAATAATATGAATTACTGCAGTCACGAAAACTTTAAGTCAACAAGATGTATCTGAAGCTGAATTTAAATGCATATATATGTAAAATATGACTCTGTAAACTTTTTCAAATTATATTCTTTTGTGGTCGCTTTTATGCCTCAAACCCATGGTTTGG